AGTCGACTTGAGATGAAAACAAGAGATGGGCAAGTGAGCGAATCTATTGAGTGCGATTAGTTCACTCAATGTCTCATGTACAGAGATATCACTGCGTGTATCAATCTGTTACCAGCGCCGCATTCGGCGACACAGCAAGGCGTCGGGCAAGTCGTTCACGCAACGCGAAAGCTTGGCACTCATGCTATCTACAGGGCATTTATCTCGCCGCATGAACCAGGAAACACGGCACTAGCACGGGCTACTAAACCCACGTTCAACGTGACAGCACAGACATCACTGGGGAGGTCGGACCTCAACTTCCCTCTGTCTACCCCCAATGCTGCTCTCAACCTCGATGGGCGCGTTACCAGCGGGCGCGTTAATGTGACGCTCAACCCCTCTTTCGAGGGGACGTACTCTGTTTCGGCGCCAATCAGAGATTGCATCCATGTCCGCCAGGACATCATGGATCCATTACAACGATCGCGGACTCGGGAGCATTGGCCATTCGAACGTCCTGAAAAGCTCTTCGAAGGCGGTATTCGTTGGGGCCATGACCCAACAAACGTTCCGAGCGGGTCTGTAAAGCTAAGGACCACTGCATCCAATGTTTCGTTGTTTTTATGAAGCCTTCACTGTGGTACTCGGTGTGGGTGATATTCAACCACGGGTTTACCCATAAGATGGGGTCTACCAACCATCAGGATGGATTGGATTCACCCACATCCTGGGGGACACAGCCCAGGGTGTGGGTGAAGTCAAATGGATGATTTTCGCCCAGTACATGTCCGATTTAAACCACACGCAGTTCACGGGTTCTCACCCACTTGTATCACCCATTTTGTTGGTTATGTATACAGCCTGCATCCTAGCATTGTACATTGAACCCGCCAGTCGCACGGTTGGTCCAAATTGGGAATCGATCGATCGTGATCGCGCCAGCGCCGCCCGAGCGCTCGCCGTCACTGTTCGCCAGCGCACTCATCGTTACACGCACACGGGCACATTGCACGGCTAAGATGCTACCATGAAGACTGGATTAAGGGCACAGAGGCTACAGACTTGGTGCTACATCAAAACTATTCACCCACGCTTGAATGTCCCGCGTTGTCTACGGCTCTGGTCGTCGCTGGCGCCGTTCGCTTGCGCCGCGGGGCAGCCCCAGATGGCTCTTCAGCGTTCTCGAGCCGTAAGGTAGCCGTGGACTGCGTCTTCTGACGCTTTGACGAAGTCGGACGTGCCTTCGGGCGCTGTTGAACTGCGGTTGTAGTAGACGAGGAAGGGCGCGGGCGCGATGGTTCGCGATCGGTCGGTGCAAGATTCTCGCGGTCCTCGTTGTTTCCGGCAGTTCTAGTTGACTCGCGCTCGCTGCCGCATAGAGTTTGAGTTAGTGATGGTGGTTGGTTGGCTGATGGGAAGCTTACCGGGCCCTCAGCCTCTTGCTACCGGGATTGTCGAAGCGACCCTTCAGCGAATTATACTTTCTTTTGTTTCGAAAATGCTGCGCTATGATTTCATCGACGGGCCAGCATCCATCGAATTGCTTCAGGTACTCAAATGATTCCATTGCCTAAAGATCGGAGGTAAGCAATCGCTCGGCGGACGCGGCAACAAGGCGCAAGGAGGGGCTCGACGTCCGCGCAGTGTCTGTTGTTCGTCACTCTCCGAATACGAGCATGTCGATGACCGCGGTGCATCTGCTTCGGGCGCAGGACAGATCTCCCGGGACGCACGGTCCTCCTCCTCGAGGGCGAGCGTGGCCAGCGGCGAGCGTGGCATCTCCCGGCGCGGGCTGAGAGGCTCCGGAGTCGCTGGAGCACGGTGCGCGCGCGCTTTCCCCCAGGCCTGAAACCGAGCGCTGAACTCGCTCGGTGGAGTGACGGGCGTGGGGTCGGCGTCGGCGTCCGTGCGCGGAACGGTGTG